GTTTAACAATGGACTTTCATAATCTATGTAGACAACTGTACTGTATCGATATTTCTTTATTTACTAAGCTATTTAGACATAATCGGAAATCGATGGTTGGATTGTAATCATTGTACCGTGTAGATGTAGATGTAATGGAGTAATGAAAAAAGGGAGACAACTGTACCGTCATTAAAAATTGTCAAAATCATCGCAGTTATTGTAGTCAAAGGGCAAGGCCGTCGTCGATGGTCCGGCCGGTTCCGCGGCCATTGGCCGGACCAATACTTTTGGCCAAAAAAGAGGTTTTAAAAAAAAAAAAAAAAAATAAAAAAAACGAAAATAAAAAAACACGCATCGCTGATTAGCATTTGACACTTACCTGGCCCTTATATACGCGGTAACATACAAAACATGACGCGAAGAAAAACAATGGGGACACTTTAATTGACCAGGTATAGTTAAACATATATATATATATATGTGTGCATTATGAATATCTTGAACTAAGTAATGCCTGAAATTCTCCGAGAAACTTTTGATAAATATTATTATTGAATTGTACACGGCAACCGTTCAAAAGTCATATTTTTTTTATCACATACCCGTGCCGTTTTTGCGACTCCGTGAAAATGGTATTGCACGGCCGTGCATATATTGTTGAACGTCATTTGCGTTATACACACTAATTGTTTAGCGTTTTTCTAAATGGGCGTCAATGGAAAAATGGTTTTTTTCACTTCAAAAGGTACTTATTTTTGGTATGTAATAAACAGAATATTGAATTCGTGAAGTTCATTACTGAATTTTATTGAACTCGTTGAATAAAATATTAATCTCGCCAGAGGCCTTCGGCATAATATATTTATATTCAAACTCCTAAAATAAATTCAGTAAATAACTCTTTCAATTACCTATACATAATTACAGTGCAGGATGTGTTCCGGCCCTAAGTATTTTGAAAGCAAATCGATCTTGCATGGCCAGTGTTAAAGAGATTTTTGAACCAACCCGAAATATGCGTACTTCAGAACGTGAGGATTTATTTTTATTTAGGCCGCACAACCTTTTGAAGACCGTTCACATAGAAAAAAAAACTTGGTTGTTGTTTGTGATTTATATGGCAACGATATTAACCCGGACATTCTCTTAGAGGTAATAGCTTACCAGCTGACTACGTTAACATTTTGACAAATCAGAAAATAGTAAACTGTTACTTCTACCTGACGCTTTGAAATTTGTGTCAAAACAATCCGTGCTAGAACTGAGGTCGTTGTGTTGTTACAGAATTTTTTAGTATGCCTGCTGCTAATGCTACCAGTGAAAAGGAATTCTCGGAGCTCAGAAGAATAAAATGTGAAAATTCACACCGGGAGATAATAAGAACGGCGAGTGCATTGTTGTAGAAAATAATGCACGCTTCGGGCCCTTAAATTCCTTTGTTTATGAAGAAAAAAATTCCGATAGTGTTAGAATGTTTATTTTTCATTCGCCAAATATCAATTACATGTACTCATCTTTTATATTCACCTGTTCACGTCCGTTATTCAAACCTTAAATTTCATCCTTAAAACTTACGACGCACTTAAATCTTTGACATTTTACTATAACATGTTCTAGCGACAGGCTGTAAAATGTGCCAAATATATGGGAAAACGCCCCTGAGAGCATCCTAGAATAAAATTTTTTTCGGGGGAGCATGCCCCCGTACCCCCCTAGATTCTGCCTTAAATCTACCAAATTGGCCGCACCAATCACAACATCGTGACGACGGGCCTGAAGGGGGGTCACTGCGGATGAGTTCATTAATTACCGACACGTACTTTTCGTTCTAACTTGTATTTTTTTCCTCTATATTTCTTCCGTAGTTTATGTAATTGAGGTAGATTTATTCACCGTGGCTGAAGAAATTCTCGTCGTGACTTCCAGTGCACCATTGGGAGGAAAATTTTCGGAACCAGATGTACATAGTCTATTAGATAGATATATGTGAAACATTAGGCCTAGTTCTCGCTCTTAACAATCTGTTCTTTTATCTGTTGCGACATTAGTATAAAATAGGCAGGCTGAAGACCTTAAAGGCTCAAAAGCCTAAAAACATAAAATTTAAATTTCTTACATTACTTAAAACAGATATATACAAACTATTATTAAGAAATATATTCTCAGAAATAGATTGGGGAAAAAAATGGTATGAAATCGTGATTTTGCGCTCTTTTCAGCCTAATTTGAGTGAAGTGTTGCAACGAATTTCAATTTAACAACTGGGAAACTCGTCGAGGGAATGACCTGAAAAGCACACAAGTTACTGGTCTAGACCTGGGACTTAAAATGTTACGTCCCAGGTCTAGACCAATATCAAATGGTACATAAATCTCGAAAAATATTCACAGTCCCGTCATGTCAGTGAAGTAATATCAAACACTTGTTGAAAGTCAATAACGAATGACATCTTGCCAAAAAGTCTTTTAAAGGTGCTTGGCAGTTTTTGACTTTGGAGCGGCAACTTAGTTAAATTCTAAGACTTTCTGACACTTTGATGGCACCTTTTTGGTGTTTAGTGATTTATTTTGAGTTATTTATAGATGCTACTTGCGACATTGAGCTGTCATAAGGGTTTCCACACACGAGTCTGTTTCCGAAAATTTTCTTTCAAACTTATCATACCACACCGTATTACCGGCGGCAGTGATGGCAGATCACTGCAGTGATGGCAGATAGCTAAAAATTTACCGCTCGGTACAGGTAGGTTATAAATTTGGTTGGTATTATTATATTCAAATACTGCCCATTTCATTGCTATGAAACTGGAGATACTATTAGGTAATTTTGGACACTAGTTTTTTTCTGTTTTTAGACTATTTTGAGCAGGATAAAAGTGACATTTTCGGAAAAATCCGTGAAAATGTATGTTTTTTTGTTCAAAATATCTCAAGTTTTAACTAAATGGCAGGATTTCGTGTTATTAATATAGACGTTCATCCATTGGGGTCACGCAAGCCAAATATCTACCCCGTGAGTCTTTTCTTGAAAGTTTTACAGACGTTCAATTTGGTCCGGTCGAAGAAAAAATGCTACCGTTGAACTTGTAGGCAGATACTTATTTTAAATGCTGCCGTCGATGGCAGAAATACCATGAAAGTGGCTAACATTCTGACAGAAAATCAAGGTCAATCTTTTATCAATTCCTCTATTCTTTGCGCCCTTTTAGTCGGAATTGAGACGTTAAACTATCATTTATAATATTTTCTCAAGGAAGAAAAGTAATTAATTCGGTATGTGCATCGAAAAAGCTTTTTAGCAACACGCAGATACAATACAAAATGTGATGATTCAGTACGACCAAATTGCACTATAAACAGAGCAATTAAGATGAAGAAATTCATTTTTCTATATTCATGCATGTGTGCTTGATCTGTTGTGTCTGTCAGTTACATGCTTACAATACCATATGTATCTTAAGTTTAGCAGCGCATAATTCTCTGCCTTTTCAAGACATAACGCCATTTGCATATTACAGCTGTAACTTCAGTAAGTGGATATTCATCTGCGACACACCTAATCGTGACTGTAACTATAGCATGCATTGGCATTTTTATCTGCCGATAGGTTTATTATACTCGCCGCCGGAATTACCAAAATTATGGGCCAGATTATATGCGCACTTGCAGGTCCGATCGTAGAGTCCGTAGAGCGGAGACTTTCCATGCAGACTGTTCTTCGCTCGTTGCATGGTGGTTGAAGGAGCAACCATCACTTTTCAGACGGCATCATCTAACAAAAACGGCTCGTAATTGCTAGCGCCACCCTCTCGGGTTAGTCACGACAGGTCAACCAATCACCTCTGGAATTTGAGATCATTTGACCTTGACCTGCCGTGTGCCTTCTCCGCGACGTGCACGCCTCGGGAGGGATTTGGAGAAGGTGCCGCGAAGCATTTCATGTCTACAATATCTGGAGAATCGCAATTGTGCAATACAGTGTTTCAGTGCATCGAATATTTAGGTAATTTAAAATTCGATCATCAATATAGTAGCTTAGTCTAAAAGCCCTCGAGGATAAGTAGTATTGGTTATAAATGATTTTGCAGGTTATATTATCCGATATAAACGATTTTAAACTTAAATATCAACTGAAATTGCCAGTCCGCATAGAGCGTGAGTTTTATAATCTCAACATTGTCGGTTCGATTCCCGGGCTGGAAAACTAAAATAACTAAACAGTCTATCGGACGAGATCGAGGTCGCAAGTACGGGCGGTAGAGAACCAGGAGAAAATTCTGGAATTGGAAAGTCTTTCTGTATCTTTCAAGTATAAATAAACTCAAATACACACACATTTAAACTGAGCCTCAAGGCGAGGGTAATTCTGCAAACAACCGTTTGTTCATACATGTATATGACAATATAGACCAGTAAAAATATCAGGACCAGTAAAAAAATATCACAAATTAATTGCGCAACACAATTCCTTTATTAAAGATAAAATATCATAACGTCATAAATCGACAGCATCATTGTATATAATGATATAAGCATCGTTGTTATCCAATTAAAATCGACGTTATATAAAACGTAACAAAAGAAGCGGGAAAACGCACCAAAGTCTAAATAATCCTTTTGTGCATACTCCCGATAGGGTGACAATTCTACTGATATGATAAATGATTAGACAAACATAACCAATAAGTCTTACACTCCATATATTCAAAAACACAATACATATATATAAACTGTGAACAAAATGTATTCTATGTAATTGTCAAGGCACATGCTTACGTATCATTTGACTACACGTGACCACAAACTAACACTATACCAAGAACGTCAACATGAACGATATAAAACAAGATCACGCGCGTTTTCTCGTGACAGTCAAACGATATTTCAGTCAAACATTAATGAATATTCATTTGTAAACGCCTGTTTTGTTGATAAATAAAAATATTGAACACAAAATGACAAGCGCAAATAGAATTGTTTAACTGTACGTTCTTCAAAACGTACTTGTTAAAGTTTTTTTTTCTAAAATGACTGGCAATCATTTATTTTTCGATTGTGGCATGTAAAGTTATTACAATTGGAAGATCCTCGGCTATTATTGATAATAACAATCCGAAGACCGACGGAAAGGGCCGACAAGTTGCGATTGAAGTTTTATACATCAGATTGACACGCCGTCTTATTGTGACGTTTCTTTTTCTTCTTTCTCGGTCCGTACTTGATCTGAAAATGTAAAAAAAACGCATATAAGTCTATAAAGACATTGTTTCTGGATAATATAATGTAAATTACAGAAACTTATTAGACATTAAAGGGACTTCACGGAGGCTTTTTTCACATGACGGCATTAGAAATATTTTCTCGAGATTTGTGTATCATTTGATGAAGGTGAGGACCAATAACTTAAGGGGAAGTTTTCAGATCATTCCCTCCTACCGTTTTTCCACAATTATCATTTTTATTGAGCAAAATAACCCCCCAAAAAATGAAAAATGTTGCAACACTTATTTTTCAAATCGGACTTAAATTGCACAAAAAAATCGATTTCAGTTGATTTTTTGCATATTTTTTCATTATCCTTTGCCTCACATGATTTATGTAAGAATTCACATTGTATGTTTTTAGGCTTTTTGGTCTCAGTGGAGGAGGGAAATAATAAAAGAAACTTGAAAATATACAAATCACCAGCTTGTACTCTGCTTGTACATAATATGCATAGAATTATGGTTGAATGTTTAAAAGTTAAACTAATCAGCCGTTATCTAAAATGAAATCAATTTGCATATATTTTGAGATAAAATTCCTTGCTAAATTTCAATTAGAGTACAGCAAGTAGTTTCAGATTAAAGTGTCTAAGCCAAACGAAAATATTTGGTAACTTGTCCATAAAATAAGAAAGACCTTGGTGAAAATATTGTATTGCTCATAGCTACTTGGTTTCGGGGTTTCTGTAGCTGTCAAATTTATCCAAATGTAACGATTTTAAACATGTTCGTTTGGTGTTGTTTTTGTTTTGATGGGTATTTTAAAAAAAGAACTTAACGTTAAACAAATCGTTACATTCAGATAATTTCGACAGTTAATGATTAAAGCTAGAAGGATCTTCGTCCCGAAACCAAGTACCTAGTTCTGGTTTTGGATCGAGGATTTTTGTCCCTTGACAATGCCAGTAACATTAAACACGTGTAAATTACTAGACATGGTAAACTCAGCGAAATAACTTTTAAAATACACAAAATGTATTCAATTTATAATCAACAATTTAGTTGTTGCAAATTTATCCAAATGTAACAATTTTAAACATGTTCGTATGGTGTTTTTTTTCTTTCTTGTTTTTTTTTAACTTTAACTATAGTTAAACATTATTAGTAACAAGTCAAAACGGTGGGTATTTTTTAAAAAAAGAACTTAGCGTAAAACAAATCGTTACATTCAGATAATTTCGACAGTTACTGATTATAGCTAGATGGGTCTTCGTCCCGAAACCAAGTACCTAGTTCTGGATCGAGGATTTTTGTCCATTTACAATGCCAGTAACATTTAACACGTATAAATCACTAGACATGGTAAACACAGCGAATTAACTTTGAAAATCAACAATTTATTTATGAGAGGAAATATATAATTCACAAATGATACTTTGTTTAATATTTCCATTTCCGGGTCTAAGAGGTCAGTAATACTTCTATTTAGAGCCATTCGTGAATAATTGTTCTGAACTATTCGAATTTCCGGAAGTCGAAGCTGTTGCGCGCTTCCATCTTGTGATTTGTTGTCAGGCGAAGCTCGACTTGAGGAACCAGTAAGACGCGGTAGGAAGACATCTTTATCTTCCGGTTGGTCGGTCCTGTAAATCTGCATGTTTTCAATCTCGCCTTGACTAGAACTAGATTTTATTTCCGGTTTTCTTTTCGATTTTGCGTGATGTTTTCGTGGAGTTTTTGATGTACAAGATTCTTCCTTTTTGATAGAATTTTCACCTGTTAACAGAAAAAAGGAAACAATAAATAACGAAAGTACAGTCTCATGCACACATACCATATTTATAATGGCGTTTGGGGTTATTAAATTTGAGCCGTGTCATGACAAAACCAACATAGTGCGTTTGCGACCAGCATGGATCCAGACCAGCCTGCGCATCCGCGCAGTCTGATCAGGATCGTAATAGAGTTGGAAAGCGAACAGAATGGATCCTGATCAGACTGCGCGGACGCGCAGGCTGATCTGGATCCATGCTGGTCGCAAACCCATTATGTTGGTTTTGTCGTGACGCGGCTCATTTGTATTTTACAGAATATAGGGTTCCTGTGTCAAATATAGTCAGAACAAGACGCTGATTACTCAGTTTGCAATGTGCCAAAGATACTGCATGTTTATATTCTTATATTGTTTCTGTTGTTGGCAATCTGCTGTTTAATATCTAAAGAACTTAACCATTAAATAGGTATTTTGAGCCATTGTTTTAAAAAATTATAATGGGTAACAGTAACTTCTTTTTGATCCTATTTATTCTGTTTTTACTTGTGTGTCTTATTAAGCCTTGTGTGACTAAAAATGGCTAAAAAGATCAAAGGAAAAGTCACATAAGCACCTTTTCGTAAGTACGGCCGTCTGCCCGTCCGCTCTCACGGGAAAGTAATAATGTGGCTAGAGGGACAATAGGTAACTGTTCTTTCTCTTTGATGTCATTCATTCCGTAATGCTTTTATGTTGCTATTTTCTTTTGTGTGGCTTAAAAGAACAATAGAGAGAACAATAGAGTAGCCAAATAATTACTGTCCCATTAGAACTTCCGTCCGTCCGTCCGAAACACTTTCGTGTCCGCGATCCATAACTTTTTAACCGCTGAAAATTTTGTGAAATACCTTGGCACATGTGATCACTATAATGCGACGATGGGCAGAACACAACCCCCAAGATCAAGGTCACACTTAAAGGTCAACTGTTAAAAGTCTTAATTTCATAGTAAAAAGTCTACATTTAGTGTCCGTTCCATATATTTTAAACCACTGAACTTATTCTTAAATAACTTGCCACAAATGGTCATGGTAATGAGACAATGTGCAGAGCGCAATAATTGGGTTGCTATCCCCAAGGTCAATGTCACACTTGAAGGTCAAATGTTGAAAAGTCTTCATCTCATAATAAAAACATAATGTAGTCTACATTTGGTGTTCTCTCAATAGCTTTTTAACAACTGATTTTTTTCAATAACTTGGCACAACTGATCACCATTCTGAGATGGCGTACAGAGCGCAAAATTTGGATTGCTGCCAAAAAGGTCAAGGTCACACTTTAAGGTCAAATGTTAAAAAGTCTTCATTTCGTGTCCGCTCCGTCACTTTTAAACTGCTGCACTTTTTAAAAAAATAACTAGGCACAATTGCTCACCATTTTAAGAACATGTGCAGAGCGCAATAATTGGGTTGCTACCACGAAGGTCAATGTCACACTTAAAGGTCAAGTGTTAAAAGCCTACATTTCGTATCCGCTCCATAACTTTTAAAGCACTAAAAAGTTTTTTTTTAAAAACTTGGCACAAATGATCACCATACTGAGACGATATGCAGTGCGCAATAAATGAATTGCTACCCCCAAGGTCAAGGTCACACCTAAATGTCAAATGTTAGAATGTCTACATTTCGTGTCTGTCTATTACATTTAAACTGCTGCAATGTTTTTAAGATAACTCGGCATAAGTGATCACCATTATGACACCATTGGCAGAGCACAAATAATCAAGTCACAACCCTGAAGGTCAGGTCACACTCAAATGCCCAATGTAAAATCATCTTTTTTTCATGACCGCTCTAAAATTTATAAACAATTTAAAGGTTTTAAAATTACTTGGCAAAAATGATCCCCACCATATCACAATCTGCAGAGCTCAACATCCAGGTTGCTTCCCAAAAGGTCAAGGTTATATGTTCTCCATAACTTTTTGACTTTGTGGAAGATTTCAAACATTATGCATAAATAATCACCATCGTTTGACTATGTGCTAATGATATGCATGGCACAACATCAAGGTCATAGTTGGCAAAACGTCAAGAAGTACACATTCATATTCACTGCGGATCCTTCAAACTGCCTTGTAACTGTTAAGAGGGTTGCTGCTCTGTAGAGGTTTTTACTGTATCATCAAAGCTAATCATATGATAAGTAGAATCTGGTGTTGAGACCGCATGTGTACTACAGAATGAACAAAAAAGAAGATAAAATAATATTTGTTTGTTTCAGCCCAAATTTCTTCATCCTTAATGAACCTACCAATTACTTTGACATGGAGACGATAGAAGTACTCGGCTTTGCTCTCAAGAAATTTGCTGGAAGTATATGTCCTTGATACTAATAACATGCTGATTTTGTGCAATGAATAAGCCCGGATCAAAATTTGTAACAGTTTGTTAAAAGATTACGGGATTTTTTATATAAAAATAGACAAAAAAAATCAGCTCAAATAGTATAGAGCCTCTGTGGTCTGACTACACAGATATATAGGCTGTTCTAGCTTTATTCTGGTGGCCAAGGCTGATCACTTGAAATGAAACAAATGTTTGAAATATTAAATTTATTTGTTGTGCCTCCTCTTTTGTGTCACACGTAGCTCAAAAAGTATTTGACAAAGAGTCATGAAACTTTACAGGAATGTTAATCAGCATGTGTAATCATGCACCTGGGTATTTTGTGTGGATTTATTTAGTATTTTTAGTGTAATTGCCCTTGACTTAACAAATATTTTCGTTTTTAGAATATTTTTCCCGAGTCCCTGAAACCTTACAGAAAATTTTTGCTCGCATGTAAAATTGTGTACCTGGGGTTTTTCTTTTTATTTTTTTGTTTTAGAGTTATCCATTTCCTTTTCCGCTTACTTAAATTTTTAACTTTGGGTCATAAAAATTTGACGGGAATTTGATCAGCATGTGTAGTTGTGCACCTGTGTATTTTCGTGTGGATTTATTTAGTATTTGCAGAGTTGTTGTTCTTGACTTACTAAAAATTTTCAATTTTCAACTTGTGTCGTGCGCTACTCAGAATCAATGTGACATAGTGTCATGAAACTTTAAAAGGAATGATGATCGCATGTGAAGTTGTGCAAATGGGTCTCGATGTGAATTTATATGTTTTGTCAGAGTTATAACCCTTGACTTAGTGAAATTTGCAATTTTCAATTTGTTGTCCTGCGTATAGCTCAAAATGTTTAACCTGGGGGAGTCCCCCCATTTGAAAAAAATAACCAAGGAAAAAATGGGTGGGTTTAAAATTGCACCTTGGGTTTTGTGGATTTATCCCAAATCTGTAGAGTTATGCCCGTTTACTTTGGTAAAAACTGTTAATTTTTTTTGTGTTTATGTTCCTTGATTTGAATCAACCCAACTTTACAGGAAAATAATATCAACATCATGTGAAGCTATGCACCTGGACTTTGCATTTGGATTTTTTTCAGTTTTGTTATAGTTATTGCCCTTGACTTACGTCAGTATAAATTTGCAATTTTCAACTTGTTCATGCATACCTCAAAACGTATTTGACCTGTAGGCCTGAAATATTACAAGAATGTTGGTCAGCATGTGTACTTATGCACCTTGGGTTCACTTACGGATTTATTCAGTATCTGTAAAGGTATTGCCCTTTACTTAGTCAACTTGTAGCACATGTAGCTCCAAAAATATTAGACCTAGAGTTATAAGATTGACAAAACAGTAGAGTGTGGGGGCACCCGTGTCCTATGGACACATTTCTAGTTTCATATTGTTCAAACAGTTTAGTAGTTTTTTTTGTAATATAACAAATAACAATTAAACCAGATGCATTTAAAAATGTGAATTCCAAAAGAAATTATCACCTGTAATAAATAAAACATGTTATACCATTTGCATACATTTTGAGTACCCTTTGCATACATTTTGAGAGAAAGGCATATATTTAAAAACATGTTTATTTTTCTTTTGTGAATCATTTGTTTTACTGATTAGATGTCAAACACTTCAATGTTGTCATCTGGATATCTACTAATACACATCTTTGTCATTTGTTGATTACAACAGACTGATGTAATTCCCCATTTTTCACTATCAGCTTTTATAACTTCTCCTATCAGCTCACCATCACATGTAAACTGTAAAACATTATTGGAGAGTCTTCCAGATACCAGCACACTACCTGCTTCAGTGATATAACAACAGTTAGCCCCCTCAAATTGTCCATCATTAAATGATGTTATAACCTGACCATTGTTATCCAATACTATCAGTCCATTATACCTGTCAGCAACATAAATCCTAGTAGCATCCTTACTGACAGCTAGACTGTTTATGTTACAGAACAACATATGTCCTGATTGATCCTTACTGAACTGATTCAGTTTCCTACCTGACAATGTATACATATATACTGATGTCTTATTATCTGAAATATATAAATTATTGTTTGCATATGCAAGACCATAACGTCCAAAATCAGTGTGAATCTGGTTTGTTGTTTTCATTTTTCTTTTTAGAGAAATGAAATGAACTTCTTTTTTTGATGGAATAGTTACTGCTATTTGTGTGTTATTGATCATACACACTTGCCAAGGTCCTCCAGGTATATCACAGTAGTCTGTGACAGTATAATTGTAACTGTGTAAACATTTAAGCTTGTTGTTGTTGCGACCAGTTAGAATTATTGTACCATCTTTCATACAGCAGGCACTCCTGATATAACAAACATTTTCATCCGACTTAACTTTTATATTATATGATTGATTTCCTTTAATCTGAAATAAATTGTCAGCAGTCTTTGTACATTTCTCTGATAGTATGCCTATGGTCTTCTTTTGTTCTAACTGTGTAAGAATTGTTCTGTCAGGTTGAAACTCCATGTCTTCTACTATACTTTTTATTTTGACAAGCTCCATGTATTTATTGGTAACATTTGCAGCATCTTCTCCCATCTTCACATAAACAAACACTTCAGAATGACTTGTGTTTGTAGATGCTACTTTATTATAAGCTGATCTAATCCTGGACTTATTTGCTTGTAGCTGTTTTAAACTGTCTTCAATTTTGTCTTCAAGACCTTTGACTTTACTTTCTATCTCATCTATAGAACTTTTCTCCAGCTTGTCAAGATGGTCATTGATTTCTTGACGGAATTTTCTGATATCAGCCAGTATTTCAGCTTTCATCTTTAACAGCCTTTGTTTATCCTGTTTAAATCTATCAGCTTGTTTTTCAAGGGTCTTGGCTATTCCCTTAAGTTTTGTTTGAATGTCTCTCGATTCAACTTGGAAAGTATTGTTTTGGATAAATTCTGGTATGTAGAATGTGTCCTTACATAATCTGAAAAATAAATTCAAACAGTTTATGAGGCTATGAGATGACGGAGGAGATGATATATTATTTAGTGTTATATATTTAAGATAGTCTAAGAATATTATGTAAAGTACCTACTAAACATTCCATATACTTACTTAAAAAATATCTTTGTTTAAATACTATAGTTTACCTGTGATCAACTGCCATACATGTAGAACAGCCAACATTATCATGGTTCTGACAGTACATATCAATGTGTTTATGACTGTGTCTGTCACATCTCTCTGCTGGTGCCCTCGGCAGACTTTTACTGGTTCCTGACTTAACTTGAGATTTATCCAATACCTTGTGACCAGCTAATACAGACACTTTACTGTGAACTTTGACACAACTAACACAGAAATAATCGTGACAATCTACACAGTATTTTTCACCTTCAGTGTTCTTGCCTTCATTTCTACACATTGAACATAATACGTCAAATATTTCATCCGAAAGAATATTCGTATCAAATTGTCGACCTGTAGCCATTTTGTCTTTTTCCCGACTACATTTGTTAGTTGATCAATTTACATTGTAAAATCGATAAAATTGTTTCTATTTCTTTCACAGTTATTTCAAATTTAAACATTGATGTACTTTATTATTAAGATAACTGAAAGCCTTAAGTATCTATTACATTGTACAACTGGAAAATATCAATTTCTACATTTTAGTTTTTTTCATTGATATAAATCCTCTCCTATTGCTAAAGAATATCTAAATGATTTGACCTACTTTGGGTTTATCTTATCAAAGGTGCCCTTATACCTCTTTGCACAAAGTCTAACTTTATCTGGTGAAACATTATCTAAAGTTTATCCGTATTCAAACTTTAAGGCATATAAATAATAAAGTGTTTACATAGGGCTGGTTTAACATTAGGCTATTTAAATCATTACAACATGGAAGAAAATATCTAACTGATAAATGATAAGTAACTTTATCTTCACTCGCAAAGCAAGTGGTGTACATATACATGTATATATTAGTCCTTTGTTGTTATCCCCCGCTGATGAAATATGAGGGGGATATTGTTTTGGCGTTGTTCTTCGTCCATTCTCATTTTGTGTCGCACATACCTCAAAAGTATTTGACCTAGTCATTAAACTTTACAGGAATGTTGATCAGCATGTGTAGTTGTGCACCTGGGTATTTTTGTAATATATTTAGTATTTTTAGAGTTATTGCCCTTAACTTAGTAAAAATTTACAATTTTCAACTTAATTGTGTCACACTTAACTCAATAAGTATTTGACCTAGAGTCAAGAAACTGTACAGGTATGTTGATCAGCATGTGAAGTTGTGCACCTATTGTTTCGTTTGTGGATTTATTAGCTCACCTGTCACAAAGTGACAGGGTGAGCTTTTGTGATCGCTTTTCGTCCGTCCGTCCGTCCGTCGTCCGTAAACTTTTGCTTTAAATGACATCTCCTCATAAACCACTAAGCCAATTTCATCCAAACTTCACAGGAATGTTCCTTTGGTGGTCACCTTTAAAAAATGTTCAAAGAATTTAATTCCATGCAGAACTCTGGTTGCCATGGCAACCAAAAGAAAAAACTTTAAACATCTTCTTCTAAAAAACCCAAAGAGCTAGATCTTAGATATTTGGCATGAAACATCTTCTAGTAAGTGTCTACCAAGTTTGTTCAAAGAAAAGCCCTGGGGTCAAAATTGGCCCCGCCCCAGGGGGTCATTGATTTTCCCTATATGCATATAGTAAAAACTTAAAAAATCTTCTTCTAAAAAAACCCAAAGAGCTAGAGCTTAGATATTTGGCATGAAACATGTTCTAATGGATGTCTACCAAGTTTGTTCAAATAAAAGCCCTAGGGTCAAATTTGGCCCCGCCCCAGGGAGTCATTGATTTTCCCTATATGCATATAGTAAAAACTTTAAAAAATTTCTTTTAAAGAATCCAAATAGCTAGAGCTAAGATGTTTAGCATGAAACATCTTCTTATGGGTGTCTCCCAAGTTTGTTCAAATAAAAGCCCTGGGGTCAAAATTGGCCCCGC